TAATGTACTGGAGTGTCCAGTCAGTGTGTCTGTATGAACCCCTCTCTCTCAGTGCAGTGTTAATGTACTGGAGTGTCCAGTCAGTGTGTGTGTATTAACCCCTCTCTCTCTCTCAGTGCAGTGTTAATGTACTGGAGTGTCCAGTCAGTGTGTGTGTATTAACCCCTCTCTCTCTCTCCGTGTCTCAGGAACAGTCTCAGGCTCAGAGAGAGATCTGGATGATAGAGGACATCCTTTGTGGTTTGAGCCCCAACAAGAACAACTTCCGGCTGGCGATGGGCTCGTCCAGGCAGACAGGTCACCATAGAGATCAAGAACTACAGCTCCCATAATCCATTTGGGCCATTACAGTGCCTCTTGTATCCCCTGTAACCTGTATCCCCCTTTTTTTGCTCTCAGAGATGTAGTTTCTAAACCTTCTTCTTTAAACTTTCTTCACACCTTCAATGTGAAAATGAAGACACAAAACCGCACTGTCAGAATTTTCATTTTCATGCAATAAAAAAAAAAAAATCTCCCCGTGTCGCTATAGGGATGACCACGCCCTCCTCCGCAGTCCTCCACCGGCCAGTCCTCCACCCTGGGGCACCCGTCCCATCAGGCTTTGCTGCGCCTGCGCCAGACTGGCTGCAGAGCGGGGTCTCTATGGTAGGTTGTGCTCTGCAGGGACAAGGAGCAGAGCAGTGAGTGAGGCTCACCAGCAGCCCCTGGACAGTGGTGTTGGGGGCACTCCCAGTTCGAGTGGGGCACTGGGTTAAAGGAAATAGACCCGGCTCTTTCTCACAGCCTCTCCCTTCTCTTCATACCCCCCTCCTCCCTGCTGCCCTCCTTCTGGGCAGGGAGATAACCCCTCTACCTGCCCCTGCTCCCAGCTCTCGCCTTCAGGGAGGTGCAGTTCCCACAGTGGCCTGCAGTCACTGGGGGGGCGCTGTCCCCGCCGGCTCGGTCCTTTCGCGCTGCTGTCGGATTGCGGAAAAGCACCTTGTCCAGCTTTTCCCAGGCTTCCTCCTGTCCTGCTTCTCCTCTCCTCTCCTCCCGTTCTCTGCCTCTCCAGCCAGCCCGGCGTCTCCCTCTCTCTCCCTCTCCTGCCCCTGGTGCTGCGTCTCTCTCTGTCTGTGGACCCCTGTCTATCGGGGAGCTGAGCTAAGCCCCAGCACAGCCTGTCAGCCAGTGTCAGTCTAGTCAGTGTGTCAGTCAGTGTGTCAGTGAATTAGTATGAAACACAGATTGTTAGTTCTTCCACTTAACTGTTTCCATCATTATGAATCTAATCTAGCTGATTAAAAACTAAACTGTTTAACTAAAGTGTTAATTGTAGTTAACTAATTAATTCACCCCATTAGTTAATTTTGTGTTTAATTGACTCTGTGGGGGGCGGGGTTGTCAAATAGGATGAGGATTTGGACACCCCCCCGCCCCGCCCCCCTTTACCTCAGGAACACCACAGGGCCAATCAGAACAGAGAGGCGGGGCTCGGCTGGCTGGACAGCGAATCAGAGTCTGAGGTGAGTCCCTGGATGAGCCAATGAGGCGTGGAGGGCGGGACACCTCAGTGTCCATCAGAAATGTTTCATGTAAAAATGTTTGAACATTTTTAATACTGAGGATAATGATCATTTGATTCATACAA